GCTCAGCGCCGCGTCCCCAGGGCCGAGCCGGCTCCGGCGGGCAGGGGCGTGATGTCACGGCAGGGAGGGGGCGCGGAGCGCCGGGCCGGCAAGGAGGCGGGGGAGGTGTTTTCCAGCTTTAAAAAGGCAGGCGGCAGAGCACGGCCCTGCGTCAGAGAGAGACTTGGAGGCTGCGAACTCGCCGGCGGGGTCGCCGCGCCGGATCCAAGCGGCCAGGCGCGGGCTCCGGGCGCGGCGCACACTCTGGTCCCGCCGCGCGCGGGTCCTAGGCCGAAGCCGGGTCTGCCACGCGCGCACGCCCCCTGATGACATCTCTCCCTGGCGCGCGGCGCTGAGCCCGGCCCGGCGCGTGTCCGCTGCGGAAAGGTCCGGGTCCCAGAGCTCAGCCCGGGCGCCCCGCCGCCCGTGGCCGCTCCTCCTCCAGCTGCGAACCGCCGCCGTCGCGTGGATGCCAAGTACCAGCTTTCCAGTCCCTTCCAAGTTTCCACTCGGCCCTCCGGCCGCAGTCTGCGGGAGCGGAGAAACTTTGGGGCCCACGCCGCCCGCAGGCGGCACCATGAAGGCGGCCGAGGAAGGTAAGTCCGCGTCCCACCCTGTGCCCCAGGGCCCCCGGCCCGCAGCGCCTGCTGCCGGAGCTCCGAGCCACCAGCAGGAAAGCCCCGGAGCCCAGAGGCCCGGCCGGGGTCTGCGCGCCTCGGAGGACGCGGGCCGACGGCGCCGTACAGCCTGAGTAGGGTGTCCCCCTGGTGTTTCCCCGGCGCAGCCCTGATTTCGAGCGCTCGCTCTTGCCAATAGGTGTCTCCTCTTCTCTAGCGCTGAATGCGCGAACTTGGCCCTGGCTGGGGCAGCCTCGCAACCCGGCTGTGGAAATTTAGTACAAATGCGAGCAATTTGGGGATGAAGTGAGGTAGGTCCTCAGACCATAAAGGACCCTTTGGGATAAGTGAGGTTTCTGTGGGGATGAGGGATGCCCCTCGAGGGAAGCAAGGCCACCCTTTGGGGCAAAGAGTAGCCCCTAGACGTGAAATTTGGGGATTCCTGTGCCTCTCCTTGAGCACCAAGCAAGGCCAACTGCCTCCAGATGGTCGAGGACTCTCTGCCAGCGGTGCGGTCACGCTTGCGGTCAAGTGCGGGTGTGAGCACAGGCCCCCTACTCAGCCCCACCCTCTGTTACTGAGAGGAGAGAGTCCAGCGTAACAGATGCCTCTGGAAAGCTTGGAAGGCTTGGAAAGCACGGCCACGATTCAAGCTGCTGCTTTATGGTAAAGAAGAGGCGTCAGTGTCTGCCCTGAGCCTGCGATGGCCGGTCCGGAGGTCTTGCTTCAGGTCCCCCTGCAAGTCCTCCGCCTGCTGTCCCGTTAAAAGAATAATCACAATAACAAAAACCATCCCGTAGGCTCCTGCAGGTGTCTTTGACCACAGCCTCGGGAAGGGATGGCTGGCATTCTCTTGGGATTAAGATGGTCAATGCGGGAAGCAAATTGGGAGACACCTCTCCAAATTCCTTATCAGTTCTAAAGTGTATCACTTAAAAGTATTGAAAGCCAGTAAGCCTGCCAGTACTAGTGTGCCCTTAGTTATAAGGCAACATCCTTTTGACAAGCACTTGAAGGGAAATTCTAGTTTCCTGTGGCATACTAATAAATGTTCCCTTGCTCTGGAACTGCTGCTCCTATAGACCGTAGCTTTGGAGAGCTTGCATCTCCTAGGAAGATGAGCCGGAGACAGTAAACTCGGCACAAGAGGATCAGCATTTTCAGAGGTTAGCTGTCCCATTAGAAAGTATTCTGGGAATTCTGAATGAAGGGAGGCAGATGTGGCTTATGCTTCTTACCATTTCATCCCAATTTCAGAAAATGCTTAAATGCTGAAACATCAGGCAATGTTTTAATATCCACACAGTGAGCTCTTGCTATGAGAAAAGTTTAACAATACTTTTGAGTCCTTGGATACTTATTTCCCACGTATTTGTTGCTACTTTAGAAAAGGCAGGTCTAAGTTTAGATTTCTTTACTTGGAGAGTCAGTGTTCCATTCTGCAATAAGAAATATTTTTTCTCTTTACAAGAGGAAGAAACATTGATGGGGGTAGGGGTTATTTTTCATGTTTCCTACTTAGGAAAAAAGTTTGAAAATGCCCCAGCTAAATGGCCATAGAATGGGGACAATAATATTCTTGAACTAAACAATGTTGGTGTATTTTATAAGGACCAGAAAATTGGGCTAACCAGGAAGTGGATTCCATCTTGTGAACAGGAAGGCCATCACACAGCAGGGAGAGTGCAGCAGGTCTGGTCTGCCATTGCTGAGGGCCACTGGGAAAACAGCCCCTGTCCCTCCTGAGTAGGCTATGGCTGGTGCATTGCTGCCCTCGGAGGGCCTGAGCGCTTACTGCCATACCCAGGTTAATGAGCATCTGGTGGAGGCTCATTAGGCTAGGCACCGCCATTTCTGAAGGCCCCGTGCTGTTCTGCCCTGGAGAATGCCCAGCAATGCAGGCCTGTAGGTAGCCACCCAGTCAGAGCTGCTCCGCAGAATGCCCCATGGGCTCTTCAGGGCTGAACAAAGCGAACCCTGTTCTCTGCCACTTAACTTCTTGGCATTGTTTCCTAATCCAGATTAGAAATTGCCACAGTGCCTGCACGCTGCTTTATCACACCCAGCAATGGAGCTCTGCATCCCATTAACATCCCACAGCCTCTGGAGGAACTAGTCCAAGCTAAACACTTCGCTCAAGACAGGAGTGTCTGCTGAACTGGCAAACGGGAGTCCAGACTAATAGCTGCCATGGGAGGGGAAGACGGGCCGGCCCAGGAAGGCAAACGGCGCCTGTACCTGCAGCTGGCTGTCTTGATGCCTGGGTGGGCGACTGGGATGTGGAAGGAGCCTGCCCTGCCTCCAAGAGTTCAGAGGCCTGAGGCTTCCCTCCTGTGGGCTAGTATTTGGAGGCATATGCATCCTGAATGGTGCAAGCAACAGTTGTGCAGAAAGCTTTACTCTAAATAGGTGAGAGGGCTGCTGTGTATAATTTTTTGGTGGTGCTGAAAGCGTGGCTGAAGTTAAAAAAAAAAAGAAAACTAAAAGAGAGAAAATGAAATGGTGAGGCTTCTCTACAGAAAACAGAACTTCTATTTGCTCGAAGGTCAGCAGAAAAGCAAACTAAAACAAAACAACCCTCCAACAAGCATCTGAAAGTGAGAACTATTATTAGAAACTAAATCAGGCCAAACCGAACCATAGTTTATCACGAGAGAAAACCAGCCATTGGAAAAGGGTCCTGGGAGGAGGTAGCGAGTCCACGTGAGGTCCAGGTTATGCCTCTGGAAAAAGCCGTCCCCCAGGGCTGCAGGGCCCCAGGGCAGAGAGAAGAGGCCGGAGATTAACAGCGGTGGCAAATGGTGACACTGACCTCCATCCTCCCATTCCTTCCTGACTCCCCTCCACAGCTCACGCTCAGTCTCAGTCTCGTGCTCTCTCCCAGGCCACCATTTCCCTGGTATTCCAGATGCTGGTTTTACGTGGTGCCAAGACTCGAGGAAAGTTAGAACAAAAGCTGGGAGAAACAGGAAAAGGATGGACCGGGCCAGCAGTGCAGCCTTTCCTACGACTGTGCTGTGTGTACCAGTGGTTGGGCCTGGGTAGGCCTCCCTCCCCCACCCTGTGAGTTTAAAATTGCCCCACAACCACAGCAAGATCGTGTGGATGCACGACTGTGTGGTGTTTTAGGAGCCGAGATCTAATGAGGCCGGTATTGAGCAAAGTGGGCTGCCATCAGAGAGGCGCGGGAGGCCGAGGGAAGGGGCATCCCCAGTCACCAGACGGGTTGCACCCCGCAGGCTGCACCCCGCAAAGGGCAGAGCACTGGGGGACCCCACGAAAGCTCTCCCAGGACCCTGGCACTTCGGTAAACTTCCCTAGCGAGGGGTGCAAAAGGCCAGTCCCCGAATACAGGCTTGACGCTGCAAGCTCGCTTCAGCTCCGGCCTGGAGCCCTGCGGGAGGAGGGCAGGCTGGGTCTGCCAGAGGAAGCCCTGAGCTCAGAGCGGCGCGGTTGGCGGCCCTGCCGCTCCTCGCTCCTCCTTTCAAACTTTTGGTGCATCCAGCAGCCTCGGTGCTGGTCCCGCGGAGAGGACCGACCGCCCTCGGTGCCGGCGCGCCCGGGTCCCGCGAAGCCCGGGCCTGGCCCTGTCGCCCGCACTCGCCGCGCCCCGGCCGGGAGGGGACCGCGGGGCGGCGCCAGGGCTGCGCTCGCTCGGCCTCGCGCGCGGAGTTTATTTAAAACTCGGAAGCTTGCGGCCGCGAGCCGCTTGTTTATGTAAACCCGGAAACACCCGGGGGGACGGGGCGGGACTGCGCAGGAGGCGGGGGGACGGGAGGGGACAGGACGCGGGGGGCGGGGGCGCGTCACGCAGGGGAGGACGCCCGCGCCGGGCGCACCGCGGACCCCGACATGACGGGGCTGGAGCAGGACCCGGAGTTCGACTTCGATTTCCTCTTCGAGTTCAACCAGAGCGGCGAGGCCGGCGCCGCCGCAGGTGGGTCCGGCAGGACCGCGCGCCGCCCTCCCCGGCGTTCCCGGGACCGGCG